AGCCTTTATGTGCATACATTCACATATACACTTGTAAATATGTTTGTTTATGTGCTTGTAATTGTAGAGATTTTCGCCGTACCCATTGCTGTTTGCACTCCAAACAGAAATTAAAAACTGATTGCACTGTACGACGGTGCAATAACAACACGGCCTTTTGCCATGCATCAAACAGCAAACAGCAAACATTTGCATGCCGCTGCCACTGCCGTTCTAAAAGCCGACAACGAAAGACCAATAAGCCAGTAGACCGAGCCGCAAACAATGTGAAAGAGTATTGGCGGCCAGTCGACGGCGTGACCTCTTCAACGGCTAGGCCAGTAAGCGGCCACCAACTTTGGCGGTACACAAGTTACAAATGCACACATGCATATACATACATATACATACATATGTACATATGCGTACTATATGATGCATTTATGCGCTCGCACATACTTAGTTGAACAAATAGAGGAATTCATCAACAAGCAAACGTTAAGACAAAAGCAATTCGATGCATTTGCCACCATGAGCGTCGTCGGGCATTTATCGAAAGAGCAAGCCCCCTGGCTTGAGCCAGAGCCAACCAACAGGTGCTACCATGTATGTATGTGTGTGTGGCTGCTTTTAAATGCGCTTAAACCTTTTGGAGTGGCTTTTGTCAGCAATGTGTTGCATTTATTGATAATATTTTCACTTTGGTCCGCTGATACGCTTTTGCGCTCATTAGCAGTTGACTGACCATCATAATCAACAGCTTGACACACCACATACACACACTCATATACACATGTGTATTTGTGTGTGTCCATCGTATTCATGCCGCATCGCGTTCGAGTGTTTTCGAGGCGCTTTTAAGCATTGCTCGCACGCATGTTGTACGAGGACTTAAGTGCTTGTCGCTGCAGCCGAACAGTTTTGCTGGCTGTAAGCAAGCACTCGTGGTTGCATTTGCATACATTTTTTTTTTTTTGCTTCGAGTGTCAATGCGTCTCCGCACTGTTGTGCCGGCAGCCAGTCGGTACTTGAGTGGTTAAGCCTTTTAATAATGTACATAAATGATCTCTTAAGCGACTGGGCGCTAAACTTATGACAGAAATAATAATAACAACGCAGGCTGTGATGCAGTTGCGCATAACTCGTTAATGTTTGGAAGATGTGCATATACATATGCATAGAGTAGTATAGTGTAGCTATTGGTCTAGCTATTTGCACTTCAACTGGCGGTTGATTACGCTAAAGTAAATGAATTAAAAATGAGTAAAAATTCAAAAAATTGCCAATATTTCACAATTTAACTTGGGTGTTTGTCGATTTTTCGCCAGTTTAACAAATAATTGGAAGCAATCTTTTTTAGCAAAAAAAATATGTTTGCAGAAAATAAAAAATAAAAGTTTAGGAAAATGTATTAGCGATTTTGATTTTAAATTAGGAAATTTTTAACATTTGTAAGCTGGCAAAATTTTATTATTATTTTTTTTTTTTTTGTGATATCAAAATAATTTTACAATTCGTTAGAATTATTGAAAATTTAAGTTTTTTCAATATTTTTGGGACAATATTGTATGTTGTAAGAACGCAAAAAGATTTTTTAGACTATAAATAACATTGCAAATATCTAAAATATACATTTTATTTATGGAATCGTTTTCACTTTTTTTAATAAATATATTTAACTCAAATTTCAACATCTCAAAAAAACTAAACAAATCAAGCATGTTAGAAATGAAGCATATCAAATAATATAACTATTGGTGAAACTGATTATAAAATTATAACTGATTTTGTGATAGAAAAAAAAGTATAAAATAATATAAATTATACTTATTGCATTACAAGTAATAATAATTGCATAAAAATAAAACCAGTAAAATTCTTTGTTTTACAGAAACTTACTGCTCGGNAATTATACATTAAAATTAAAATATATGTGTATTATTTATAATGATTTAAAATTTTAGTATATTGAAATATTTTTGAAACATAATAATATATGATATTCGTAAATTTTTTATATTTCCTGGATCAATGCAATTAAACATATAAACCATTTGAAAAGTATGTAAATTGAGTAAGCAAATAAAAATGTTTATTAAAAATCGTATGCTATATTTTTACATTGAAAATATTTTTTTCAGCAAAATTTMCTTTTTTATAAAAAAAACTACTCTTAAATAATTCCTCGATAAAATATTCCTATTATATCAATATTTATTTTTAGCAAAATATTAATTATTTTCAATAACATTTACGCTACGCGGATTTAATTACAGTTAACCCATTTGGTTTTACGTCCATATTACTAGAACACTGCACTCTTCTCACAGAGAACAATAGACTTAAGCGACAAACTTACAGTGAAATTTGCTTTTTTCTCTATGTGCTACAAGCATAAACTCACACAGAGCATAAAGACAACATCGATTCTCTACACTTTGTATACCATATTAAAACAGCATAAATAACAGCAAATCCGGCACGCCCACAATAAACAGTTGATTTTTAAATTGAATTTTCGAAAATTGCACAAGCGACACAATTAACAAACAATACGCAAGCACTACCATGTGGTGCATGTGTGAGTGTGGCCGTGTCTATTTACGCTCAGCGACTACATAATTCGAGCAAAATAGACACATATACAACGCACACATGCAGTTAGTTGCATGCAAAGCAAATGCGTGAGTGACAGAATTGTTGCGCTGTGAAATCCTTTGGAAAATCAAACCAACAAGGTGCACAAAATCAATTTTACGCTCACTTCCCGCCGCACAGCAAACACCGCAAATGTTGGTCGCGAATTGTTTGCAAACGCACCGCGCACACACACATGTGCATATTTGTCGTGTATGCTAACACAAAACGCCCAACTGGTGGCACACCAACACACACATACAGGCGTACATAGTGTCGCTGCTGCACAGCCGTTGATAATTGATTTTGTGGTCGATTCTCGATGGGCAATTAAAGAAGAAGCTGCTGCTGCAGCTGATTTCGAAAATTCCACAATAGAAGTGGAAATACCTTGAGACATACTAACAACTACAACTACAACAACCTAGCTGTCTGTTTTTCATTTATTTTTCAATTTTAACTGCTGCTGCTTCTTCTTCTCTCAACGTGGCTGGCTTGTAAAATTCCCAACGCTGTAAAATGTTGTACGCGCTGCTGCTATTGGAATGCAAATATAATACTAGAGGAAAAAACTCGAACTTTTCAAATAAAAAAATATTGACTGTTTGCGGCAAAAAGCCTTTGAATCCTTTTTGTACCCTACCCTGGTAAAGAAATAAGACGCAGGCTCACAGGTAAACACACTATTTACCTAATCATTCGTGCCATAAGTGTTGCATTATGCACACAAAAGCATGCATACAAACAGGCAATATATTTATTTATATGTATTTGTGTGTATATGTGTACATTATGGCAATACCTTTAGAGTTACAACTCCTATGATGGACTCGCGCAAGCACCCACCATAATTACAAATTGAAAGGTCTGCCTTGCATACGTACAATCATACATACTTATGCATATATGTACATATACGTAGATATGTAAATATGTAAATATGTACGTGCACTTTATTGATGTCGGCGAAAATCAATATTTGTATTTCGACCTTTCGCAATCGCGCAGAACGAGGCATTCGAGGTTGTGCGTTTAAATAAACACCTTTCAAGCAGCAATGGATCTGCACTCGCWTAACAACAAAATGGGGAAAATTGATTTCTAATACAACTTCTTATATTTCCATTTATTTATTTTGGTCCATTGTTAAAATAATAACAAGAGGCCATGCCTAGGCGGAGGACATGTGCGCATACAACCACGCCATTTGCCTATTTAAATAGCCSTGTTTGTATGTAAATGGTTTGCTGTTTGCACAGCACAACAGGTTCAAAATAAGTTTGGTAAATTCCATTATACTTGTGTATTGTATGCGCAGAACGCGTGCATGKGTGTGTGCGTGCAAGTACAAAAGCACTAATGAAGACAACTGCAACATTGTTGAGTACAATCGCCGTTAAGTATACGCTGTTACTTATGATCGCACTGAAATTGATTTAAATATTATCACATTGGCATATTATACAACACAAATACATACTCATGTTCATACATATATGGTATATTCTTCTTTTATTTGTAAGTTTTCGGCGGTTGCTTTGAGTTTCCGGTGACTTCGTATATTCAATTTGGGCACTGACGCTTAATTAGCAAATTTAGTATTTATTTTTTCTATCAGGGACCGACGCTTAAAGGTTAATAATTGATACCTAATACTATATAAGAAGTCATACCCTGCGCAAAAGCATTTCTTATAGCATAAAATCCATAAAAAGGTCTTTATCTTGCTTTTTATAGCAAAGTTTGTATGGTAGCTATATGCTGTATTAGTTCGAACTGAACAATAAAATCGCCGAATAAGCCTTGTCTTGGACAATAATCCGTGCGGAATTTCGTAAAGCTATCTTGTTAAAAATCCCGTTTCCATATAAGAACTTAATTTTAATCAATCAGTTGGTATGACAGCTATATGCTTTAGTGATGTTATATTGGCAGTGCCGAAAAAAATTCAAGAGGAGAGAAAAAATTGGAATTCGGTAACTCCAAAACTGAATACTTGGTAAACGTTTATTGAAAAAAATTCGGTTGAATACTTAAATAATTTGAGCTTAATRGCTTCACATTGAATTTCATAAATAAAATCCTTATGTTAACATTAGCATTTTTTTTATAAATTTGAAAATCTATAGTTCCTATATTATATCATATATATATTTTTTAAATTTCTGAACAAAATCTTTTGTTAATAATAAATAAAATAAACTGGAAATGTATTTACTATTGCTTTCATTTCAGAATTCCAAAACTTGATTTCCCAAAACATAACCGTATTTTCCACTTCGAAATKTTAGATATAAAATTTTTTATTTTTCCAAAAAAAAAAAAACAATACTTTCCACCAATTTTTATTTTTTACTAATTATTAGATTTTTTCTTAATTGCAGCGCTGCAAAGAAAAACTCAATGTACTCGCTGTTTCTGTGATGAATCAATGGCCGCGCGTGCGTTTGCGCGTTATCGAAAGTTGGGATGAGGATAATGCGCACCACGCCGACTCTTTACACTATGARGGGCGTGCCGTTGATATAACAACATCCGATCGTGATACCAGTAAATATGGCATGTTGGCGCGTTTGGCGGTCGAAGCYGGTTTCGATTGGGTCTACTATGAGAGTCGGGCGCATATACATTGCTCAGTGAAGTCGGGTAAGCATAAGAAATTAAATACATTTGTTATAAAAAATGGTGAAAAAAGTTAAAATATTGTTAAATAATGTGTGCAGTGTGCTTAAAATATAGAAAACACAAACAAAATGCTCCAAAGTGAATAGTTAGTAGGAAAAAGCATGTTTTGGAAAATAATATAGCATATATAAAATATATTTTTTAAATACCATTAGAAAGTAGAAATTTAAGCAATCCTAATGCGTGTAAACCATATTAAAAAAATCTTAAATTCTGACTTGAGATTTTTTAATTAAAAATTTGTGTTTTTGCCCGATATTAGGTCAATATAAARAGAAAAAATAAAAAATTTAAATTGAAGAAAATACAAGTACGTTTGGGACATTTGAAAGTAAGTTTTCGTGAAAGAAATAAATTTTGGCACAAGATAAAAATAMAATTAAACTGGTTTATGTAAATTTTTCACATAAATTTTGAGGTTATGTGAAAAAGATGTTAATGCAAAAATTGTAGAACCTTTAATTGCCCATAACATTACCATAACACTTTTTTCTATAGCACTCATCTTTTACCGGATATAGAGATAAACCAATTTTAATCCATAAAATTTCAACCACGCTACTCTTCTTACTTTTTCCGCCTTTAGATCGCACGTAAATAAATTTTCAGTTAATGTTTGTTATTTTATCTTTCGTTTCCCCTGAACTTTATGCTACCAAAAATTTCTATACTTTTCTATCAAGGCTTCTGTAGTCCATAATTTCAGAATTTCAAAAACTTGATTTGTCCACTTCAAAATGCTGGATATAAAATATTTTTCATAAAAAGAAAAAAAAAACAATATTTTCCGAAAATCCTTTCTCTTTATTCTACATATATCCAAGTACCTTTTATAAGCACATTTATCTGTCTCCTCTGCCAACTACACCCGCTCCTAAGTCCCACGCAAACCCGAATTCCTTCAAACATTCACACACATGCATATACATATGCATACATAAAGGTGTACATGCAGCCGAAAATTGCATTGGCCTACAAAGACAATGAATTAACAAAAGACAGTCTTACGCTGAATACAAATGGCCAAAAAGAAATCAAAAGCGGAAAGCTAAAGACTCAGAAGATAGTGTATTTTTAAGTAGTAGGTGCGTATGCATCCTACTGCTTTGACATGTTTAGGGTTGCGCCTGTCAAATTAAACGAATTGATGATGCGACCTCCGCTGAGTTTCACATGAACGTAACGATGACGACAACAACAGCAACAAAAACAAGAAGCAGACCAAACCAAGCCGAAACCAAAGGCAGCCAACAAAGTATCCACAATATGGCTAAAGAGTAGCAGGAGTAATGGGAAATTTGGTAGGGACGGAAGCTGTGCAACAGCAGCAGTCACACACCGAACAAAACAACAACAACAATMAGAATAACCAGTCTGAATAAGGTAACCGCAATAACAATGCTAGTTTGCGGTGACTATAATGCTTAAGGCAAAACAAAGGTAGATACACACACATACATAYGTGTATTTGTATGTATATATGTATATGCATGCGGATGCGGCGACTTACCGATCTATACATATACACATACTATATATTATATATGTACATACAGACAATACAAATAATCAAACTGATTCGAAATGGAATAAATGCGGTTAATGTGGTAGTCGAACGCGGTGACAGCGACAACTAAAACAAAAACAAAAAARCAATAATATAACAACAAAGAACAACAGTAATATATATTCTGCATTTTTATTGTTGTTATGAACTTCTGAAGCACAGTAAGTGTCAACGACACTGAATTTTTATTTCTTGAAATTGTCAAAAACATGCTACATGCATTTATGTGCGTATGCATATGTTTATGTACACATTAGTAGTTAAGTGTGGCTTTAAAAATCTATCACTGCAGTGAAATCGAAAAATATCTTTCAAAATACCCACAAACACACATGCAAATCGGCCAACTGGCGATAGTCAAATCGCTGGGGCGCCTTTTTATTGTCCACGCACCCGTAGGTTGACCCGGAAAAAGGTATCAATACTGGTTTACCGACAGTCGACAGCCGACAAGTCAAATTTCGAATTGGCCAACACAAAAGCCGCTGTCCAAAAGCTACTCACAAGCACACGCTGCTGCATAGCGGTGCATCACACACATGCATATGCAACGAAAATGTATGTAGAAAGCAGAAAAGCAGCCCTGCTATACGCGCGTTCCTATACACCACACATACAAACAAGCGCGCAAGCGCAACGAGGCGCTCATTCTAACCAACCAAATCACGTTAACAATTAATTTTCGAAAAGTGCTTTAACTGTCGAATATAAAGCCAGAATATGGCCAACAAGCGCAAGCAAAAACAACATATGTGCATGTGTATGTGCATGGCGGCAAGCAAACAATCAAAACCCGCGCCTGTTTTAATATCAACGAGTGTGAAGAGCCGAACAAAGCCAACACCAATGGGCCGTACGCAGCCGAACCGGACCGGAGTAGACCAGACCGGACTGACAATGGCACGGTACATGTGTGTGTGTGTGTGTCTTTAGAGACAAAGAGAGAAAAGTGAATGCCTACTAACTGGATAAAAGCGCCGCGCGGCATGTCTTCGTCAGTTGTGTTGTAGATAAATACATACATTTGTGGGTATATTGGGGTTTACATTGTACTCGTATAAATATGTACATATGTATGCGAATTATACACATTTTGGATGTAATATATTTGTGAGGGCACTTAAGTGAACTTGGCGATGCTATTCTTTTTTACTGCTTAACTTCACAAGCGTACACATTTACATATATTGATGCCTGGCGTTTGGTTAATGCATGTATATATTTATACTTTAAAAAAACCAAAACCAACCAAACCCTCGCAAACTTTTTCAAATATTTTTCGGATCTTTATTGCGTAAAAATCGCCAGAAAATTTAAAGCGAGTCGGAAAAATTCTCCTTAAGCAAAAAAAAATATCGGAAAACACTCGCATTCATTTTCATCTGTTTTGTTATTTTAAAAATTCTTTTCATAAAAATCGACCTTTTCAATGTAAATACAGTTTTTGGAATAAAAAAAGAAACATTGTAAAAATATTTGATTTTTAGTTTGTTAATGTAAAAATTTATATAGTATGGACCGATTCTCGCTACCATTTTCCAAACCACTGAAATATTGATTTATAAAAGACCGTCAAAAATATTGATGCTTAATGGAAAATGTTTCCTTGAGCAACCAACATTTCAAAAAGACTGGCATGAAATTTAACTTTTTTCTTTTGGAAAAATTTGTATAAAAGCAATATTTTCGAATTAAAATTTTTTGAAAACTTCGAATTTCGTAAAAATTTTTTGGGGGGAATAAAATTTGCAATAAAAAATTTATTGATACAAATTATAATAATAATTCGGTAATTTATTAAAAGAAAAACCCATGCTATATTTACTTAGACGGGTATGGATGTAATGGGTAAGCGCTACAAGTTCTATTATTTAAAATTAATTTTGAATAAAAGTGCGTTTTCGTAATCATTTTCTACGTAAAATAAGCATAACAATTATGTTGTGGATCAATTTTCTAAAAAAAAAACTGCTCAGCCTTCGCAACTGTCACCTTAAAAATACTGTTATAAACTTGTGTGTTTTAAAACATTCAAAAATTTTGAAAAATTTTTTTCCAAAAAATGGTATGGTATAAATTTTTATGTTTTAAAATTTTGGAAAAATTTGTTTTTCGAAATTTTAAAACACACAAATTTCTAACATATATATTATATTCCCCACTCTACTAATAAATTTTTACAAGCCGCTTAAAAAGTCAACACACAAAAAATAAAAATTAAATTCCACAGCTCCTTAAATGGTATATGTATGTACATATGTGAATGCATGTGTATGTATGAAATTATAAGCCATATATAACATTAGCCATCGGCCAACCACAAAAGAACCAAATATTTTGACTTTAAATGTCGCCGCACGCAAATGCCGATAACACACTAACAATAAATGCGCTTTAAYGGGATCAAAGTATTGCCGCAGTGGCCCCTCCCGCTGCTCACTAACAGCACCGACATCAAGTRACCAAAAATCCAACATATAGAATGTCCTTGTTGTCGACTGTCAGAGAAATTTATAAGTTATGGCAACCGACACATACATACATACATACACATACGCGCCAATAGCTGATCCTTTCTCAACACTGCTCCTTTTTTGCTTTCTATTGTGATGGTTTATTAATCTAATTGCGTGAGGCCGCTTATAAGCAACACAAAAAACAAGCCGCCGAGGAAAGATTTGAAAAAAAATGCACAATAACAATAAAATKACCTAACAAGGATGAAGGAATAAAATCGAAAATAATTTAGGGCAACAGGATCATCSCTATCAATATGCTTGTACATCAACAAATTTCACAGCACACTCTCACTCCCGCTGCTCGGCCCTTTATGACCAAACACCGCCAAAAACAAGCATGCACACACACATAGTACGTATGCACATGACGGCGTGCAATGTGTGGTCTAATCTTTGTGCGCTCGCCCATTCGGCTAAGTGTGAGCACTGGCATTATCCTCAACTGATCCTGATTGTTGTTATTGTTGTTGTGAATRATTTCGATTTTGCCGCTTGTTTGAGTAACCAAATACCGATATATTCACCATTTACAAATACAATAACAACACGCAATGRCAGACGGATGGCATGAAAGCAGCGCGTTACATTAGTTTGCAATGTGCAACATGAGCCACACGCAATTAGAGTGGCAGAAACGGAGAGGAACTGTGCGATAAGGAGCGTGTAGTGGAGCACTTGCGGTGAAATAATATGCCACACTAAACATATTACCGAGATTGATGGTGCTGATATGTAATGAAACTGAGAATC